ATGGAGACTACTCTATACTGCACCAACGATTGATTTTAGCAGGTTTGATCCCCACCACCGCCCACGGAAATCGCACTAAGGCGCCTTGTTTCTCGATGGTGTAATCATTGAGAGGAGCGTCCATACGTCCGACCTCGTTGCTCTCTGATGGAATTCCTAGTCGTCACCTCACACGCACGGCAACCCCACGTTGTTTCTACCGCCTAATTTCAAAATTGCCTTTACTTTCTGATTTACCCACTTTGGGATTCTTTGCTATTCTAATAGTTGTTTGCAACATTCTTATTCCACGATCGAGCTCTTAAGCATGAGGAGCGATAACCGGTTAGCTTTTTAAATTCATTTTTTGTAACGTTTCATGGCATTATTTTTTTTTGCTACCTGCTTTTCCTTTCCTACTTAATTTTTACTTTAATATGTTTGTATGCGCTTCAATAATCTATAATTAATTTAATTCGAATAAATAATGAAAGTAATGCCTTGTCATGAATGTTTGTGCTTTGAGGAATACATTGGAAGATAAGATTGTACATGACCGAGAAATGGTATTGTGCTTACATTGTATGTTGGACAAGATCTGCAGCTGTGTGTCAGCATGTATTGACATAAATAATCGATGCCACCTGATCGATAGCACTGTCGCAACGGCTAATCAGCTGAATAAACTAGATCGATTAAAATTAATCTATCTATCTACATATTTATATTATATTATATATATATATATTTATATTATATTATACATATGTCTATATATATATACTATATATATATATATATATATATATATATATATATATATATATATATATATATATATTAATTGATCTAGTTCATTCAGCTGATTAGCCGCATCGACACTTTATGTAAATACGATGGCAGAATTGCTATTTTATATATATATATATATATATATATATATATATATATATATATATATATATATATAAAAGAAATATGTTGTAGTGGTTCCAACGAGAGAAAAGTATGTATATTAAAAAAGAAGGGGTGCCGCAAACGTTTTTGGTTGTAATGTGGATTTATTGAGAAAAATATTATACTTTGTTTTACATAATTTCACGACACGTGTTTCTGGTCTCGCAAACTGTCTTCAGGTGAAAGTGGAGATTTTTACATATTATTAAAAATAATTAATTTTTCTTCATGTTCAATGTGGAATATTCTCGATATGAGACATTCTGTTTTGTGTTGGCAATCCGAATTTTCTTTCTAGAAATTAATATATATATATATATATATATATATATATATATATATATATATATAGAGAGAAGAGAGAGAGAGAGAGAGAGATATGTGTGTGTGTGTGTGTGTGTGTGTGTGTGTGAATATCTGAATAAAATTTCGTCTTCTTATGCAAGGCAAATGGTAAGTTTTTATTTTCCAACTGGCATTGATAAACAAATGCAAAAAAAAAAAGCTTATTTCATTTTTCTTTTGCTCTTATAATATTCTTCTTTTCTAGACATAATTTCTGTCAAAAATTGTCCGAACATTCTGTATGTCTGAACGCTTTCGGCTATACTTCTAGCCATTATCAAGGACGATTTTATTTTTACTTTTAACTGAATGTATGGATTGTTTTATGTACGTACAAAAATGCTCAGTATAAAATGGCATGATGTTATTTCTGAACTTAGCTCTCTGGTTAGGACCCGGAAGGAAATGAGTAATCAACAGAAATTAAAGGAAATAATAATAATAATAATAATAATAATAATAATAATAATAATAATAATAATAATAATAATAATAATAAAATGTAAAATATGTGTTTTTTTTTTTTTGTCAGTGGAAAATGTCATGATGTCATTTCTATCGTTAGGTCTCTGGTTGGGACCCGGAAAGAAATGTGTAAACGCCAGAAATCAAAGGAAATGAAAAAAACAATAATAATAATAACGGTGTCATAGTTAAACTTTAGGTATGTCCATAAAATAAATAAATTATTATTAATTCTTATTAATTTCTGATCTATTATTGTTCTTTCTCCTTAGCGTAGTGGCTTTATTTCTTTACTTAAGATGAAACGATTTAAAAAAAAAGGTTTTGTTTAAGCTTATTTACTAAGCTTAAAAAAAAAAAAAACGAAAATACTATTGATTCAAGCTAAGATCTCCCAAAAGAGCCCCTCACAAAGTTTCATTTGGCATATCCATGCATATAAAAATAATTGGATCGCTTCCCTGAGCCATAGTTTCGCCTCAAAATTTGTGTGAACGAATTTGTCGAACGAATCCTTGTCGTTTTATTCAGATATAAAGCTTTGAAAGGCGGGCGAGTTCCTTCGCATCATTCACTTGAATTCTTATAAAAGGCATTGTAACCAAATGCAGACATTTTTTACTTTTTTTTTTACTTTAATATGAGAAATTTCTCGTCTGGAATTCTTGTCTTTTGAAATAGTTCGATGTATTTCAGAAGGCGGACGTCCGCCTCACCTGACATTTCATTTTTTACCTTTAATAAATTCGAAGTATTTTTCTTTGCCTTATTTAGTTTCTTTCTTTCCATTTCACCGATAAATAATTTATTCATTTTTTTTTTTCAGTACAGATCCAAATTAAAAATATATAAATATTTGAATGCTTGCATTGCAGATAAAAGAATGTCAGGAGCACGTACATTAATTCCTGACCAATAAAGATTTCTTCTTCACTTGCATTGATTTCATGTGTAATATCACTTTTTTAGTAATTAGTTATGTGTCAAGCGTGATACACGCCTAGGCGATCATGTATCTTTTGATACATGACTGAAGGACGAGGCAGTTTTTTTTCCGCAGTAGGTCTTTTTGCAGTAGACCAGTTGCCATCCAAGGCTATAGAACCCGGTCTGTCCTGCTATTTACCCATAGCTGGAGGGAGAAGAAGAGGATTCATATCTTTCTCAAGGGTATTAGCACGTAAGTGAATGTAATGGATTTGACTGGAATTCGAACTCGGCTCTCCGATTCCTCATTCCAAGCCGCTATCCATGCTATCAACGTGCCCCTTCATTCCGTAATACTTACATTAACTTACATCAAACGTAGATCCCCAGACAAGGCTATGTCTAAGGGCAGAGTCTAGTCTCAGGAAACAGCTATCCGATCCCGTTTTATATAGGGTCTACGGGAAAGTTTCGACCGATCCTACGGGAAGGGATACCCCTCATTAAATTCGGCCTTGTGGCATATCTGACCGTGTGAGGCGGTTGGTAGATATCCTATATTTGAAGATTCATTGTGGAATTCACTTGACTCACTTCCAGCAGTTGACTACTTCTACGCGTCGCAAGCAAATCTTATATGTGTTGTTCTTGTTCTAAGTATTATCATTCATTACCAACCTTCGTTTGATCATTCTATTCAGTAACCTTCCCTAGGTTATAAAATATTTCATGTGACAGTTACAGAAATGAGCACAACAATAAACTGCAGCTGAAATAAGGAATCCTTTTCCGACATTTTTTTCGAGAAAAGACAATAGATGTGGCAGGTATATGAATAACAATAAAAACTGTCGCTCAGAGAATGCATTATCTCATCTTATTCTTAGGATATAAACTACACCCTTGTGCAAATTAATTGAAACAAGCACTTTAGTTTCCTTTCTTTCGCCATAGGTCAGTTTTAGATCCACTGGAGTGATAGGGTGTAATTGATTTTTATTTTTTTCCTCAGATTAAGCTACTTGCAGTGGTGTGCAGTAATATGAATCTATTTTCGGGTTGTAGGATGAAATTTATTTGACACTATTGTCTCGACTGTCGATTAGTTGTCCTACAGCCGTTGTCTGCGATGGACATTACTCCAAGTAGGTGTACGAAAATTGTAACGCTGCACAAACACACTGGCAAGCCTTACCAGTGAGCAAATCCTAATAGGGCAGCTGGCCAATCCCTATTGCGGACGCTTCCTTACTATGTGGGTGTTTATTCAACGCCCAGAGAGCCCACCTGGGGTTTATACCATGCTGAGCAGACCGTAGTTACAGTTTCTGGTAAAGAGCGTGTTATCTAGCTTAATCAACAATTTGAACAAGACCAGTGTACTCAATCGCTCGGCCACGGTGACTTGTGACTTCGTGCTAGCACAGCTATCGACGGCATCCCAGGATTCTATCCAGTTTCACTCACAAGGCTTGGATCAATCCGTGGTATGGTTTAAAGGCACTTTCCAAAGGGGTCGCACACTGCGATCGAACCCTCTCCAGTCCGATAACACCAGGAAGTCTCCTTCCTAACAAATGGTGAAATTCGAACCTGGGTCTTATGGTTGGAATGCGAGCATTCTAACCACTCGGCCCTTACCAAACTCCCCTCCAATAACCCTCTACCTTCACTGGCACTCAGGTCTTGTATTGGGTGAATATTAACAAAAAGAAAAGGTTACTGAATGTGACAGACAACCTATGAAAGCCGATAGTTATAATGGCCGAAAACTTGTGATATAAACAACAAAGAAGAAGAAACGGGTCATAAGAATGAAGGCATAAATATATTTGTATGGAATATGTACATTTGTGTTGTATGTGAAATAGAAGAAAGAATTTCTATAGAGACCATTTCAATCTTTCTTCTGCCTTCTGGGAACTCAGATGTTTTGGACTTCGATATTGACAACACGACTCCAGGCGCATCTTTCACATCTTCAATTCATTTCATTCGGTTTAATATCTCGTTTATAAATCCACCTTTGCGTCTGACTGTGCGACTCTTTGGTTGGAGTTAGCAATCGATAAACGAGGACTGAGAAATGCTATTAACAACTTGGAATGACTAGATTAATGGACTGATTATGAAACTGCCATTTTGATAACATAAGATTCACGCCGTTGTCCCGAGAATGGACGACAACATCGAACGTTTAAAAGGTAATTTTCTGACTGTTTAAGACTCGAAGAGTCATTAAAAGAATTTTAATGAAATTTACGTGAGGCTATAAGAAAGTGAATAGGCAAAACATTTAGATTGAAAACTGAATAGATTAAAGAAAATTAAGAGAAGGTGACGTGGGGAGATGTACAGGCAAAAAGACGAAAAAGAGTGGGAAAATGAAGAGATAGATAGATAGATAGAGAGAGAGAGAGGAAGAAAGAATTGAGAGAGACAATGAGAGAAAGAAGGAAAGGGAGGGGAAAATTTATATATTTATATAAAATTCCAATGCTTCCTATAGTTTTAAGTGATAGAATTCCTTCTCCTCCCCCTCTTTCTTTTCTCTCTCTCACACACACACACAATATATATATATATATATATATATATATATATATATATATATATTTATATATGTTTAGGCAAAAGTTTCTTCCTTTGATAATATATATAGTATATACATATAATATATATATATATATATATATAATATATATATATAATAAGTTAGCGCAAGTTTCTTGCTTTGATTGAGAAACATTTTCCAAGTAATAATCCTCTAAGCAAGAATTTCAATAAAAATACGCTACATTTAAGTTATAGGTGCACTGATAATCAAGAAAAAATGATAAAAAAAACATAATAAAATTTTAAATAAACGCTTAAACCTAAATAAGAATAATAGTAATTCCAAAACGGAAATCAATAATATTGATAATAAATTATGCCATGGATCGTGTTTTATTGGAAAAATACGGAAAAAAAGTAAATAATAACGAAATTATTTGTTTTCTTTTAATTTATTTGATGTAGGAGGTGGTTATGCTGATGACATAGGTATTCATAGTTGGGATAAGAATGATCTTGAACAAAAACCTCCTCCTCTTTCAAATGTTCCAAGAAATTGGATTCAAGATAAACTTTTCCAAAACTGAAGCAATTCTCTGGAATTAAAGTGAAAGCAGTGATACCTTGAATACATCATAAAAATTCCGGATATCAAATTAGTAAATACAAAACACTTCTAATACATGGGTGTATGAATCAGTTATCACAAATTTAGTATAGTAGATAAGGAAATTGACCATAAAATAAGCTTTATTTGTGGTAGTTTCGCCAAACAGAAAAATTGCTACAAAACGAAACCAATAACCTGAAAACAAGAGTCATGTCCATAAATAGCCTCGCTAGATCTAGACTCTCAGACGGATGTCATACATAGCATCCAACTTGTTCAGAAATAACTAAACTGCCAACTCTATACAACCGTTTTCTCATATCAATGGTTAGAATAAAATCTTTTAGATCAGTGGTTAACCTTGTATGTTATAGCGAGGAAAATCTTTCTTTGGGCCTTGTGAACTGGTACAACAGAATAACAAGCAAATAACTGCACTAAATACCAAAAACCACATCATTCAATGACTTTCAACATTAACAGCATCTACATTCCATATCACATCCCAAATGAATCTATCAATAGTATACAATGGTCCCTGGTATAACAGATATGGAAATTGAACATGAAAAAGGCAGTATTAGGTATAGCTTCACCCAACACAGTAACGGACGGTGTCATGTTTGAAGATTAAGTTCAAGCTTGAAACAGACTGTCGCAATTTGGTGTTGACTTCAGTGTCCACTTTGACACATATGTGGAACCCCGTTAAAATTGTAGAAAAAGTCAATAGATTTAAGCAATATCACTAAAACTGAAAACTGACTCATTTTTGTGTACAGAGCCGGCTCCAGATTTGAATTTCCACATTCGAATTTATTAACCAATCAACGACGTTATATCAAACGCCCATAAGACCGTTGAAAATCCAGACCACCATATGCGTCGGGTGTTACGAAATTTGAAAGTTCACTCTATAAAATGATCAACACTATTTCCCCTATTAAAAACAGATACTTAAAAATTGGAAAAATATTTATTAACCAATAAAATTCTGAGTTTAGCAAATTTAACTTTTACATCCCTGGATCCTATTTGTTATAAATAAAATCGCTTAAATTCTCAAAATTAGTATTCAGTTTTCATTTTTTTCAGTAAACCGTTGACGAGAGTTGTATACAGGTGATTACTCCAAACTTTCGCATAATTAATTACTTAACCGTCACATGTATATTAGGTAACTCAATACAAACGTCTAGCGATTTTCAAGTAAATTAAGCAACACACAAAAAACGTATGAACGGGGTTATTTAAACAGTATATAAGTAGTAGGTATAACACAGCTTCGCCTGGTGACATTTTGTCTACTAGAAAATTACACGCATTCATAAAACAGAGTAAATACGTTATACTCTGTTAACGTAAACACCCTATTTCTTCTATCATACTAACGCAATTCTCTGGTGTTGTAAATAACAAAAACAAAAATATATTTGCGAGTTTCGCAAGGATCTTTGTAAATTGTTTCTTTTACTTGACAGAAAATAAATACTCAATATTAAAATTTATTTAAATTCGTAGAGTTGTGTTAAATAAAGAGAGATAGAAAGATAGATATATAACTGTTCATGGAGTGAAGCGTGTCCAGAAGAAAGAAGTATGTGTTTGTTTTTTAGTCTTTCTTATCCACGGTAATATTTCTGTCGTCTGTCAGTCACACCAACGTTATTGGTTATTCTTTATATATATATATATATATATATATATATATATATATATATATATATATATATATATATATATATATATATATTCTAAAGAGAAAGACATACCTACAAATACAAGAAGCGTGAATGCCAGCACAACAAATGAAAGCAGTCAATGACTGTATATTAAATCGCAAACAAAACAATCGATTAAACTTTGAGAGATGACTTCACTGACTTCACAGAGAATGATATGAGTGTTTGATGAAAACATATAAGACCAATGAGCAACGTGAAAAGTATTTATTTTTCGAGGAGAAAATAAATGAAAACAAAATGTCTGCTTTAAAAACTTTTCAATTAGTTCAAAGCATGATTTTGTTGATGCAAAACAACAAAAAGGAGAAAATAACATTCGCCTGTTTTTTCAGCCTCCCATCTCTCTCTCTCTCTCTCTCTCTCTCTCTATATATATATATATATATATATATATATATATATATATATATATATATACATATATCTACTGCTCAGAATGTATTTAGCTACTGCTCAAAATCTATCTACTGCTCAAAATCTATTTATCTAGCGATCAATCTACTGCTCAAAATCTATCTATTTATCAATTTTATTCAGTTTTTCTCTTTGTATATATATATATATATATATATATATATATATATATATATATATATATATATATATATGGTATTCAGATTCTATCTGTCTACCAAAATTTATCTATTTCTATATACATGTCGCCCTTTCTCTTTCCCTGTCTCTCTATGTAGCTCTCTCTGTCTCTGTGTGTCTCTCTCTCTGTCTCTGTCTCTCTCTCTCTCTCTCTCTCTCTATATATATATATATATATATATATATATATATATATATATCAGAATACATACTATTTAATGTAAATAATGATAACTCCTCGTCCCACATGTTCTGGTAGAATAAGAACAAAAATGAGGACATTATTTACACTCTTCGGACTGTTGTCCTCATATTTGTTGCCGTATTCAAACGTTTCGACTGTTGTGCGCTACAGAATTCTTCAGATAATTGAAGTTTCGAACTGAACCCATTATTTTTTCCAACGGGGTAGACTGTTCTATTTCCACGTGCTATGCCTCTTCCGGATGCCTCAGTTATTTTCCTTTAACTCAACTCCCCAAGTTTGTGTACACCTCAGCAGTAGGATATTAGTCTGAATGTAAATAATGATAACTCCTCGTCCCAGGAATTCAGACATAATACTTGCGAGTTCAATCCCTGGGGCTGATAATGTTTACTTGATCTCAGTGGATACAAAGAAGCAGTAGCTGAGCAGTACTACAAATAACAACGAGATGAGATATTCTTAGACATGAGCAGTGTAATGAGAATTATCGACTCTCGTAGATTAAATAAAGTTATCTGCATGTTATCCAGATCGTTACACACTTAATGAAGGCCGGAGGGCATAACTGCCGAAACGTTGTGATAAAAACAACAAACATGAGGACAATAGTCCGAATATAAATATTTTAAATAATGATAACTCCACATCCCAGTAATGTATACAGTAATATGCTATTTTGGTCGAATATCTTTTTTAATCTTTGAGGCAGTTTCTACCAGAACTAACATCTTCTTCAGCGATGAACGGGTCTGAACGGCCTTCATAGAGTTTACCAGTTCTTCCCATCACAAATTATTTTCCACCCTTCAATCCTTTTCTTACAGATAAAACGATGCAAGCTTCTCACTGCTTTATGGATATTTCCATGGAAAGTGCTCAGAAGAACTACATCTCTTAGTTCCAACAGTTCTAACCTTCGCGACTAAGACCCGCCATGTTCTGCACATTGCAGCAAATCACCCTAATTCTATTTGTATTCCACGGATGTAATGAAAGTCATGAGATGTAAGTTCCGCTGCTCTGTGAAACCGACTCCCAAGGGGATGTTTTCCCGATTGTAATCTTGACCTGTTCAAGTCTAGGCTTAACCGTTATCTTTCCCATCTCCATAAACTATACCTTTTATTTTGTAACCCTCTATCTCGAGTGACACTCGGGCCTTTTTTTACAGTGAACATCACAGTAAGTCCAAATTATGTGGTTATCTATAGATTCATTGTCAGTAGAATAAAACGGGTGTATTAGCGCATTCTAGACAACCTGTGCCAATTTCTTCCAAGTTTGCAAAGAGAAATGAGGTATAGCGTTATCATGATGGAATACAACATTCTTCACAAATCCAGACACTTTTCGTCGATTGCTACCTCTAATCCTTCCAAATGGTAGCAGTACTTGTCTGGATTCAACGTCTGGTTTTTAGGGATGATCTCGTAATGCAAAATGCGCAGCATCATCTTCTAATGCAGATTTCGCTCCACATTGTTTTAAACAATCCATTTTTCATCGTCCGTGATCGTTCTTTTAAAAATGTATCGTTTTTGTTGCGTTTGTGCAGAGAACTAAAGATTGAAATGCGATCCATTATTTTTTTCCGTTTGCCTTACAGTATTCACACGAGCATTGTGAAGTATCTCTGTGATGTCCCGTGTAACCTGATTTTTTTTTTATCAACGTTTTGATTTCAACGATAGCAGGCCGGTAGGAATGTTTTAGGTTTTGTAGATTCAAATACCCAAATGCGAACTGCTTAGGAACAGTATCCTCAGTTATGGCACCAGCTCCATAAACGG